TATTGTTTTACACCGTAGAATATTCCTTACACGCACAATTCTACGATACTACATAGATGACTACATACACACAGAATCGTAACCGAATATCAGTAACCTCGTACCGTGAGACGTGGATCGCGAAGTAGCTCGGCAGGGGTGAAGGTGGAAGGTGGAAGGTAGACGGGGAAGGTGGAAAGGAGGAGTATAGAAGGAATAGGATTAGGAGCGCGGGCAAACCTGGACCATGCTGCGGAAAGGATGAGAGCCGAGTCTCTACCTGGGAACTAGCCATCACAGATCGGCCCTCGAGTCATATAGTGTACTCGGATGCTAAGGGGCATGTGTATAGGGATTACCTGCGGCATTCTATTATTATGTATCACTTGGAGCAATGAGGTGTGTTGTTTATGGTGATTGCTTATGTGGGGCGGCTAGTGTTACTGTTAGGCGGTATATTTAATCTCTGCGGGAGCGTGCGCTATCCTACACTAGCGAGACCGCATAGAATATAGAACCTATGGTTCATGAAGCCTTGTTGAATTGGACTTATGTTATGGATTATAACCAGCTGTTATGGGTTATGAATGTTACTTTGGTTGGGTCCCTATACAGCAGAGTGCTGCGTTGTGGGGAATTGTCTAAGAATATTAGCTCCACACAGCCCTACTGGCTGCCAAGGATTGCGTAGGTTCAGAAACTTCCCGGAAATCTTTGGAACTTTTCATGGAAAGTTTGGGAATTTAGAATGGTCTGTAATCTTGGAAATATATTCGGGAGGTTTTACGTTATCTTAATAAATGATCAAATATTACATTTTAGCCAGGAAGAATAGATACATTGTATACAACAAACGTGTGTAATGTTCGCAGGTACAAAAACAAACAGTTGACTGAGAAAAAGATAATTAGTAAGTAAATGTATTGAAAATAACTCAACAAAGGAGTGTAAATTGCTAACAAATTCTGTTAAAAACATGATAAATGATCTAGGTCTAATAGATGTGGGTGATGTATAACCCTAGTACAGCGACCTTTGGTTATGGTATTTCTTAATACATTATGTAAATAGAGCAAGCTAATCTATCCTATCATACAGTAATTAGATATATATCTATATTCATGTTAAATAATAATTTTTGTTTATTACCAACACCGTAATTCTGCCAGCTGAAAGTCCAGTTTGTTGTAATTTATTGTTATGCTAGAAATGCATGTAAACCAAACTATATAACTGCCTCCGGCACTATACAATCTTTGATGTAAACTAAAACATGTACTGTAATCCTGTATCCAGAATTCATTGTGACACTACACATTACATTACATATATGTATTTTATGTATGAAATCTCACTTCCGTGTTAATTTCTGTTCACCCGGGTTTTTAGTAAGATGCTTACTGTGGCTGCTATTTTGAATTTTTGGCCAACATAAGAAATTTTGCTGTATGGTTCTGCTGTTAGCAGACGTGTGTTGGCTGTCAATCACAACAATGCTTCTTCGTGGCCAAGAACTTGCACTATTAATATGCGCACAAAACCAGCAAAAGAAGTGCCTTGAAGAAGTTATCTAAGAAACACCATTACTTATTAGGCTGAAAGTACATCTTCACACGCGTTCAACCAGCAAGATGAAGCTGACTCCGAGAGAGCTAGAAAGTCTTGTCGTTTACCAGGCAGGATGCTTGGCACAGAAACGGCTTGCCAGAGGTTTACAACTAAACTACCCGGAGGCTGTGGCACTATTAGCTACGCAGGTAGGCAATAGTAGGTAATAATTGTAATGATAGTAATGATAGCAGGAGTGAGTAATTAGGATCATGTCTACTATTTACTCCTGATGATCGTGGTAATGATAATAGTGTAAATACAAAAACTTGCTTTCTGCCCAAGCTTATAGTACTTTTTCTCTTCACTATATGATCTGAATATCTTCACATCTATCTTGAACATTTCCTACCCTCCTGTTTTCTCCATCGGTAAAGGCCACATGTAAATCATTTTATTTCTATTTCACAGGTACAGGAGTTAGTTCGTGATGGACTGTCCGTATCTGAACTCATGAGTAAAGGAAGGCAAATGCTTGGTATGTATAGCTACTTGAAATTGTTAGTTACAAAAAAAAATTCATGTTATCTCATGATAATAATAACAGTAATTTTATTTATTATTTAAAATGGATAGACCTATCAACAAAAAGCCTACATACACCTACTGTGAGCATACTTGCAGTATGCAAACATCACGAAATGGCCGTATTGAGCCAGAAATGTGCTTCAAAGTTGAATATTTTGAAAATCCGTCGGACGCGGTTTCGGCATAGAGATACACAGAGTGATGTGAGTGAGAAAGCTAACAGTAGGCCTACGCTAGCTCAAATAGTTCCTGGAAAGAAAACACTATATTTGTTTGCTGATTGCATAAGCCATGTAGATAACATATGATTTAAACAAATTCACAATTTTGTAATGAACAAACATCGAATACTAAATTATAACTTGTTTTATCATAGAAAGTAACTGTTAATTAATGAAAACTGCGATTGGCTCGGCTGTGTTCCGGATGTGTAAACACTGCAAACATTCGAACGTACTAGTTTCGTAAGACTGTTTAGGTTTGCTGGAGAAATGTTATGGAAGTAGCAATACATATCAGTCGTAGTGAATTTTCACAACATGTACAAGCTCACAGTAGGTATATCTATGCATTTCGCTGCGAGAACATGCTATTTTAACTCCATGTAATTATCCTACTAGCAGAAATTTCAACAACATTCAACGGGTCATGTTCCCTTTCTTAAAGCTGAATCAAGACAGACTTCAACTTGACAAAGATAACTAGACCAGCTGTCAAATGTGTTGCTAACAGCTAGGTTAATTACATGAATTTGCCATGAATGGAATTACCTTTGTTAATGCATAAGAAGTCTTCTTCTCTGAAATCTTGTGGAATAAAACCATATAATTAGGAGGATGCAAACCTTCTAGGAGCATTGCCGAAGCCAATTTTCTCGCAAGGATTCATTATGGATTTTCTGGAATATCAAATTCATATGGGCAAAATTGATGCCTGCAACTGCTCTCATGCATTCTCCAGCCATGCATGGGATGATGATTAATTGGTTTCACATACTTGGTGGTTGACTGGTTGGCATGTCAGTACTACTTCTTGACCTCTTAGTTATGTTCACTTACAATAATCACCTGTGGTTACACGTTTCTAGGCTACAAGCAAGTGCTGCCAGGTGTTGGTGACATGATTGAAGAGGTTCAGGTGGAGGCAACCTTTCCCGACGGAACTAAACTCGTGAGTCCTCCGTGATTCTATCATGTATTTGTGTAGATGTTGTGAGACGATTTGCTCTGATTGCCTGCAGCTAAATCACAGCGTATTATATCATATGAGCATGTGCCATCTTTGAGCAAAATTACATTGCGTCCAATTGTACCACCTGAAAGAAATGGCCTTTCCCCACGTTAGATGTTTTTGTCAGGTTGGTGAAGGTAGACTAGTTTGCCGTTTTTCATGGTGTAAATCAAATTGTTGACTTTACGGCACTTCGTTTATAAGAATTTTAGAATGTCACAATCAGAGTGGTGAGTTGCTAGTGCTACCTGTCAATCACTCCACTTAAGTAGGTCACCACTTTCTACTTGCATACTGCATTTAAAACGGTTATTGCTAGTTTTTTGGTTCAAAAAAACGAAATATAGCTGAATATAGTCTCACCTGACAGTCGAAATATCACTGATTATACCAACATTAAAAACACCAAGATTTTATGCAGTTATAGCATAGAAACATGGATTTGACCACATCATACCAGCTCCGGATATTATCGTATGCCGACAATCCAAAATACAAATGGCGCCTTCAAACCAAGTCCATAATTAAAACAAAAGGCCGTGCAATTCTGTGTGGTAAATGTTATTGACTTTTTATGTCAATAATTCAGAGAACTTTCTGTCATTGTCATTCCCGTGTTAATATCTGACTGGTAATCCACAAGCTTTTCTAATAACAGACTTTACGCGGTATTAGTACTACACTACGCTCCAAGTGCCTGTGCACAGGGCGTGCGTGCGGTGTACTTGTGTGTTACAGATGAGCATTCGAATGGCATTTACAGCAAGTTATCGACAATAATTAATAAGTGAAATAGAGTAGAGAACCGCTGCTGTTACGCTAGTATGAGCCTCTGTGTTTACACTCTGACCTGATTTCTAAGGTGCGACGGTATGCATTACTGCACCGTGATATATGTCTCGTGTTACCGCCCGAGAGATGGCAACGGTAAACAGAAACAGATCGCCAAATTGTAATCGTGCGTGAATTTATTGGATTTGGTGTTAACGAAGGTTCTAAGGCATTTTATCGTTACTCTAGACAATAGCTGTTACTCAAGCAATAACGGTAGGTATCATGAATGTGGGGAAACACTGGAAAACTCTCGCAATAATTACTTTAAACTATTCCACATATTAATGATGTCATTTCCGTATGGTCTGGATTAAATTCAAGTCGACTCGAATTGTGTTTCCTGTGTCAACACACGGGTTTCTTCTTTTAAAATTTTATACATGAGCCTAGGCACTGTTTTACCTATAGTTTGTGGTTAAGTTGACCTTTAGTTGACTGCTTTCAGGGTTCCAGTGTTTTCAGGTTCATGCTGCAACCTTGTTGCTAATCATGTGAAACAATAGGGGTGTAACGATATACCGGTATATCGGTATATTGCAATATATTTTGAAAACTCGATATATCGCGATACAACTTTCAGATATCAATATTTTACGATACGATGGTATAACCAGAAATAAACTACTTGACACTTGCCTTTATGTCTATATTGTTAATGGGCTCGAAAATTATGCACTGGCAGTGTATATATTACGAAAGCACAATGTCTGCACGACGCATACAGTATTACTGGTAATTAAGCGACCACTGCATGGAGCACTGCGCGGTACTACTGCGCGGGCAGAGTGGGGCAGAGAGCACGTCAACCAGGGAGTCTATATATTGCCTATGCTTGCCTGAGTGCCCGCGCGCGCGATACAAGCTGAAGCGAGCGCCCACCATCGTTCAACAAGACTATTTTACTGTGCTGGCACGCTCGGTCGAGCGCACTGGTTCTTGAACACGCGTCAGTCTAGCGTGCCGTTGATCTAATATCACAACGAGGCAGCCAAAATGTAAAAGGCTTACTAAATGTAAATGTAGCTTGTTATTATTCTCATCAACATTGACACACTGGCATATTTTTACATTGTCAACAGTGGATTGTTCCTGCTGAAAAGTCAACACAATAAATAAAACAAATGACCACTGACCAATTTGGTAGATGTAACCAATTTGACTTTATTTTGTGCTACAATCACTTTACAAATGCAAATTACATAATAATACAATATATGATGATAAACCATCAAATTGTTACTATATCATGCATGGTATACACTTCTCAATACGTATTGGAAAATATTGCAATACGGTTTTGTCGTATTGGAAAATATTGCAATACGGTTTTTGGTCGCAATACTCACCCCTATGAAGCAATGTGCTGGATTTCAGGTTACAGTGCATTCTCCAATATGTCAGCCGGACGGAGATCTAGAACTGGCTATGTACGGATCCTTCCTACCAGTGCCAGATCTATCTATGTTCCGCAAAGAACCCCAGGTAACCATTGTATATGCGCCAGATGGCCTTACTTGCAAAACAAAAATTTCATTCACAAAGTTCCGATTGCTAGTTATTGGGCCTCATCATGCTGCTACAGTGTTGTAACCTACAGCCAGAATTGTCACGTCAGCATTGGTGGAATAATATATGCCCAAAAGTCAAAATTAACATATTTACACTTTCTCAAAGGGAGCAGACCTGTTGCAGGAAGAGAGAAAGTAACTATGCACTTTTATATTGGAAAAGTTAAAAAACATTTTCATCAGTATTTTACGCAGTAGGTAATGAGGCTTGTGGTCATGTCTCTCTCTTCCCTTCTCTCTCATTCTCTCTCTCTCTCTCACACACATACTCTGCCTCTTTTTCTCTTGCTCTCGCTATCTTTGTCTTTCTCTCGCTCTCTCTGGTCTCTGTCTCTCTCTTTGTCTCTCTCTCTCTCTCTGTAATCACAGGAGGCAGTGAGTTCCGTTGATGCCCCGCTCAGCATCACGCCGGGAGAATTGATCAGCGTGGCCGGCGTCATTGAACTCAACGTTGGTCGTGTCACCAAGACGCTCACTGTCACCAGCGTGTGCGACCGTCCCATACAGGTGACAGCGCCGCGTGCCTTGCTCGTCACACTGCAAACATGGATGTATTATGATCATGTAGCAGTAGCAGCTAAAACCTATGCCATTAAATTGTGGATGTAGCCGATGTATGGAATTGACTGACGAATCAATATCTTTTTTTTTCATAAATTTCTAGATAGGAAGTCATTATCACTTCATAGAGACGAACAAGGCACTGGTATTTGACCGTAGCGCAGCATACGGGATGCGACTGGTACGCTATGTCATAGTCTATCGCACAGGGGCCCATTGTCAGAAACAAAATTAGTCTTAACATTGGTCTTACCATTAATGTCGACTCGTAAACATTGACAGAAATATCGTAAAGCTACGAGTATTAAAAATCTTCGAAAGATTCCTTATAACGTTACAAGAGCCCAGACTCTCTTGTAACTTTAACATTAAGATGAAAATAACACATTTACACTAAGAATTACAATTATAGTGATACTATGATTTATATTAATTAGTAAACCGTGTGTTTTTCCTGGAAGACGTCAGAAACGTCAAAAACCAAAACAAACATTTACAAGTGGCATTTGTTCTCTTGTTTTGAACATTTTGATGATTTGTGACGCTCGCATCTTGTGTTACTCATGTCTTGCAGTGCAGGATAAATTCATGACCGTATTGTTTTTCATCTATATTATTTATATGTGGTTAACCATCATAATATACATAAATTACTAGGATGTACAATAAATGTGTATGAATTTGAATTTTGTGATCGATTCTCATCCAATCAACAGCATTGTGACATTATGAAGTTCCTGTTGTCGTAAGTTTTCTCATAGCTGTGATGCCTTTATGTCAACGCTATTCTCTTAACGTTAACATTAGTTGCAAGTGCAGTTAACTTTTCGATGTTTCTGACAGCGACCCCCAGGGTTGTATCATCACAGACTTTCTAATGAACACTTCTGTGTATGTGTACACACTTTTAAAGAGATTTAACATAATTTTTATACTTATTACTGTGTGCACACCTGTGAATATATGTAAATGTATTTTTGCTTGTGTATCTGTAGTGTAACTTTTACAACAGTTATGACACGGACATGCAGGATATTTCTGTCAGTGATGAGTATTGAGGAATGTCAGGTAAACCAATCTTGTATGTCTGCTAATGGCATGTATTATATAGCATGCCAACAATTCCTTTATTTGTTCTAGAACCTACCAGCGGGAACAGCAATGCGTTTTGAACCAGGAGAATCGAAGCAAGTTCCTCTTGTAGAAATTGATGGAGAAAGGTAAGTTGTTTCTATAGGGGAGTCTGTAAACCATATACTTGAAAGAAAAAGAAAAATTGCAGTTAACTACATGTTCTCTCCCTCTCCCTCTCCCCCTCTCCCTCTCTCCCTTCCTCCCGCCCTCTTTCTCTCTCTCTTCCCCCATTTGATTTGTTACTGCAGTAAGTCGATGTCGTTACTGTCAGTGTCATCTTCTCGCAGGGTGATCCGAGGTGGAAATGGACTCTGTGACGGCATTGTCGATCCAGCCAATCGACTTGCTGAGGTGATGCGTCGCGTCGAGGCAGGAGGGTTCGGTCATGAGCCACAGTCTGATGCAGGTACTGAGAGAAGCGAGCGTGCTCAGATTTTATTCATGTGGTTAGTGAAAGATGGAATTAGATGGATGTTTTGTGAATAGAAGTATATAGAGGTGTAATGATGAGAGGAAGAATGTGAGAGAGAGAGAGAGAGAGAGAGAGAGAGAGAGAGAGAGAGAGGGGGGAGAG